GACCCTTCCTGGTGGTGCAGTGGATTAAAGCACAGCACTGAGAAACTAAAGCCACTTCCTCATGAGTGGCCTGCCCCGGAGGTGACCACATGGCGTGGCAGACCTCTCCTGACTCACCCGCTGCTCCCCTCAGCAGTGTGCTTCGTCCATCTGCCTGTTCTGCTCCCCACTCTGTCTCTGGTGAAGCCTCTCGCCGTCCCTGAGCCTCTGGCCTGTACCCCAGCTCTGTATGCACAAATAAATCTTTAAAAAAAAAAATGGTTTGCTCTCTTGGGTACTGGTAGAAATGGAACTTTAGCTTTGGGGAAACTTCTCTTTGGCTGCAAACTGAAGGACCTCTGCTTCATGAGCATTTGTCATGGGCCAGATACTAGAAAATAGGTAATGGACCCAAGGAGATCTCTATAGAGGATGCAACACAGGGAGTGTGCAGTAGACAGTAGACTGGAGTGATGCGATAGATACAGTGGTGACTCGGTAAAACAGCACAACTGCTGTCCAAATATGGAGCTGGGACCCTCAGACTTGCCAGGAGGTTTGCCTTCAACAAGAGAAAATGGAGAAGCATGATGTATTTTGATATAAAATTGAACAAACTAGCCATCCTGGTCACTTCTGACAGGATCTTATCTGGGGGTCACAGCTGTAGCTCTTGGGCGTCTGAAGAAAGCGGTCCTACCTGTTGGGTGGTCCAGATTTGGGCACTGTCAGTGCTGTGGCCATCAGTGCTTGCTGCCAGGGAAGGAGTACAAAGGATAGAATCAACCCTTCCATGATCTCAGTACTGGGAATTCAGGTTTTTCCTCTCTGATGATGTCAACATTTAACCTGTTTGAAGAGCATTATCATTTTTTCCCCAGTTTCTCCTTGTTCTTTTCAAGAGCTATGTTGCTTAGAACCAAATCTTGATAGACTCTTTCATCTTTATCACTCACGATGAGAAGTAAATATGATTTAATTGAACCTCAGGGAGAGGCCCAGCCTCAGTACAGCAGATGAGAAGTACAAGAGCAGTCCAATTTTAGGGTGGTGCCCACAGTTCCACTAGTCTGAGCTTAGGGGTCTGATGCAAAGCTGTCACCTCTGGTCCCTCAAATGATCTGAATTCTTGATGTGTTGGACCACAGAAGCTAATGCACTGGAGGGGGGGGGTGCATGGACCTGAGTTAAGGACCCAAGTGGATGTCCTGGGAAATCCTGAAGAAGCAAAAATAGTCCCCCCACTTCTCTTTCATGGCAGGTTGTGTGAGCACATGAGAATTAGAGGCCATGCTGCCTGTGCATTGAGGTTTCATTGGTTACAGAATAGAAGGGAGGGTTGTCTAGTTTCAGACTAGCTAGCAGGCCCACTGACTATTAAAAAAGGAAGCTTTAGGATAAGGAATGAAGGTGCAGTTGCAAAGTAGACGTCCTACTTCTGTGAAACTCACCCAACTCCAATACCTTCTCTCCTGCAATTTTCCAAAGTTGCTTTTTGGTAAACTTGCTCTTTGTATTATGTCTGTTTGTGTTATATTTGTACATGATGCTTGATGTGGGTCGTCTCTTTGGAAAATGATGTTATTTTCTCATTTCTGGTGACTCCTGTTAAGTGTTAAATTGCTAATCTTCAGGATGCCCAAAGCAGTCAGCTCTCTCTCTGTGTAACTTGCAGAATTGGATATGGACTTCCATAATTTAACTGGTGAAGAGAAAGTCCTCCAGTTAGTATTTAATAGGATACTATTAGGTTTATTAGAATAGGTAAATTGACCCCCAGGCAAGCTACATGAAGATCATATAGAATGGGTTTCTGCCCTTAGTGAGAACTGAGGAACAGAATAGAAACATTACACCAATTGGTAAGTTAGTAAAGACCTTCCATAATCCATCTATCTGTTTGCCAAGGCTTTTAGGGGTAGAAAGCAATGAAGAACGTCCTTGGGGTTGAGAGAGACTAGCCTTTGGGAGTGACTTGTTCAGGCTGCATAGAGAAAAGAGTGCTCGGCCTCCTCTCTGCTTCTTGTGTTTGACTAGGGGTCTGTCTCCCTGGCCAGCAGGCGAGCAACATTGTAAATTGGTTGTGAGGGCTTGACCTGAACAGAAGAAGACTGTTCTTAGCTCTTGATGATGTCAACAAGACCATGTTCAAATTCCAATGCCCTAGAAATATTTGCCTGACCAACCATTATACATTTCACAGGATTTGGTTCTTGTGACAGAGGTGTTGAGGAAGGTTCCTGAACACTCACCTGTTCCCAGGTCTCTTCTTGATTGCCTCTAATGCCACATTACAGTGGGCTTGGTATAGTCTCGTGCAAAAATCACCAAGAGCTTGTGGCCGGCAGGAAGCTATTCCAGCTGACCTTGGGAAGTTAATACCTAGCTCCTCTCTCTCTTGTACTTTCAAGGTGGCATGAGGTTTCCAGAACTGACATGCAGGAGAAGCCACTCTCCAGCCAAGATATTTCTGCTTGTCCCAACTGTAGAATTAATGCCCTACAACCAGAGTGGTCCTTAGACTGAGAACAAGCTAGAAACAAGCTAGAAACATAGTGAGGTAAAACTGAGATGACAAAAGCTTAACATTGGCAGGCTTCTGGGCCAGGAGGCCTTCGTCTACCACATACTTGTGGCCTGCATAAACACAGGCCCAACATGAGGCAAAAAGTCTTGTGAGCATATGCATGTTCCTATGGGCCTGGGCTGGCTTTCATGCTTTAGTTATCAGACTGAATAAGTCAAACTTTCATGTGTCAAGAAAGACTCAGACCTAGCTCTAACTTGTTTCTCTGATTTCAGCTCTTACCTTGTAAACACTAAGCCTGCAAGTGGAGGTAGCTATTATATTGTTGCCTGTTTGGCGGTTACCCAAGGAATTCCTCCTAGGATCGAATTGCTTCTACCGTTAATGCCGAAAGCATGGAAACTCCTGAATGCTGTGGGTCAGGGTCTCCCAGGTCAAACAGCAGAAACTGCTTGCTTGCTGATCTTATTGAAAAACATAGACTTGAGCTTTCTGGGATTTCCCTAAACTTACAAGCTGCACATTTGTCTAATAGATGTATCTGTATCACAGATCCAATTACATTTAAGAACATGCTAATACTTCTAATCACTCTCACTGATTAATTAGACACTTTGAACTATGCCTAACTGTTTGAAAGCTGGGAAAAATACAACCTGCATATTTAAATTTTCTGAAGCAAGCAAGTCTCTTTTCTGATTTGTGCCTATATTGTTTCTTTCAAACCTTTTTTTTTTTCCAAGCCTTTTTTTTTAAAAAAAGATTTATTTATTCATATAGAACTGGGGTACAAGCCAGAGATGCGGAGGGTGAGAGGATTCACCAGAGACAGAGAGGGGAGCAGATCGACGAAGTACACTGCTGAGGGGAGCAGCGGGCGGGTCAGGAGAGGTCTGCCACACCATGTGGTCACCTCCGGGGCAGGCGGGGATGAAACTCATGTGGAAGTGGCTTTAGCTTCCTAGTGCTGTGCTTTAACCTGCTGCGCCACCAGGGAGGGCCCGTGTTTTTGTTATGAATCAGAAATGGGGTACAGCTCCAATACCTTCTCTCCTGCAATTTTCCAAAGTTGCTTTTTGGTAAACTTGCTCTTTGTATTATGTCTGTTTGTGTTATATTTGTACATGATGC